CCCAAAGCCTACTTGGCATTCAAGGACTAATAGTCAGTATATACACATTGATTAATACTCTTTTCTCCCATACTTATGTGCCTTGTATAATTTTGTAGTATTCTGTTTTCTCATCCTATAAACTGTTTTCCCTCCAACTACATATTATGTTTCTCATAATCAGAGATCATTTATTTTTCACTTCCTATTCAACACATGCTAGTTAGTCAAATGATTTATTGATACTTTTACCCAGTACTTATTGAGCACTGACTGTGTTCATTAAAGAGCAAATATATTTGCATAAAGAGTAAAATCCTTTACAACTCAGTCCTCAGTCTTCTTTTCAGCTCTCCTGATCTTCAACTTTTTATCTACCTTTAAGCTCTAGCCTTGATAAATTTCTCACCCAGTTTCTGACATATTACAGGTTGTTATTACCACAATTTTCCATTTGCTGTTCCCTGTTCCCATGCTGCCTCCCCCCACATATTTATTAGGCCAGCATCAGTTCCACCTTAGTGCTTTGCTTATGCCTCTCACAGCAGATAGGCCCCACGCTCTTGCATTTCGCTAGATTGGGAGGTCCCAGAAACCTGTCTTATTCATACTTGCATACTCACAGCACAGCAATCAGAGAGTGCAACGTGGGTGTTGTATCAATTTAGGAGTTATTACCAAAAGAGAGAGGCAGAATTGAGGGGAAGAATCCTCCAGTATTTTGAAATTTGGGGATAAAGAAGCTTTCAAGAAAAATTTATGGTGAATAGGAGTGAGAACTCAAAAAGTGTGAAGAAAAATGAGAATGGATGAAGACCTTTGAATCTGACACATAAGATGCCATTAAAATATATGTGCAATAATAAAGTATTGCTACTGAGGAACTGAATATAGCTCATTTATTTAAAATTTTTGGCAATAAAAGGAAAGAGAAATACAAGAATTAAGTAAAGATGTCAACATTAGCAAAGGGAAAAATATTCTCAAGATAAGGTTGATTAATTTGTTGATTTTAACATCTTCACAAACTTTCATTAGTAGTTACTTTGCATGTAGACTTTTTCCACACCTTTGAAGTAAGAAAAAATATTATTATATTGAGATAAATTATATAAGAAGAATAATACTTAAACATCGTCACTTGCTGCTATGCCACCTTTGTTTCTCAATATAACATAACACATCCCGGTCTGAGTTACCGTCATTCCACAGAGTTATGTTTATGAAGTGCTGCCTAATAAAATATTTCTTGTTTGTTTTACTTGTTCTCATTAAATTTAGCTCATTCTTCAACACATATCTTAAATTTCACCACCTCCATGAAGCCTTCATAAATACCTCTAGTTGGAATCCTTCACATTACCATGCTATTTATTTCCATTTCTTAGAGCATAAATAATGGAGTCACTAATATTATTGTTTTTAAATTAATAGACTTTATTTTTAAAGCAGTTTTAGGCTTACAAAAAAATTAAACAGAAAGCACAGAGGTTCTCAAACATTTCCTCCTTCTTTACTCTCCTTTTCATCTATTATTAACATCTTGTATTGGTGTAGTACATTTATTACAATTGACGAATGAATATTAATACATTATCATTAACTAAAGTTCATAGTTTACATTCGCATTCACTCTTTGTGTTGCACAGTTTTATAGGTGTTGCCCATGCATAATGTCATGTGTACACCATTATGGTACTATATGGAATGCTTTTACTTCTCCCCCCAAACTCCCCTATGCTCTATCTCTTCACTCCTCCCTTTTTCCTAACCCCAGATCTTTTTTTACTGTCTGCATAGTTTCACCTTTTTCCGAATGTCATTGTCTTAGTCCCATTTCTCCTGCTATATCAGAATACCATGGACTACATAACTTAGAGATAAAAGAGATTTATTGGATCACAGTTCTAGAGTCTGGGGAGTTCAAGGGCATGATGCCAGCATCTGCTTGGACATCTGGTGAGGGCCATCTTTTTGCATCATTCTATGGTGGAAAGTGGAAAGGCAAGCGAGTGCACAAGACAAAGAGAAAATAGGGGCTGAACTAATCCCCTTATCAGGAACTCCTTCCCGAGATAACCAACCCACTCCCACAATAACAGCATTAATCTGTTTATGAGAACAGAGTCGTCATGACCAAATCAGCTCTTAAAGGTCCTACCTCTCACATTGTTACAACGGGGATTAAGTTTCCAACACATAAACTTTGGGAGGTACATTGAAACCATAGCAGTCATATGGTTGGAATCACACAGTATGTAGCCTTTTCAGTCAGGCTGCTTTCACTAAGAAATGTGAATATAAGTTTTCTCCATGTCTTTTTGTGACTGGGTAGCTCATTTCGTTTCATCACTGAATAATATTACCTTGTGTGGATATATCACAATTTGTTTATCCATTCAGCTATTGAAAGACATCTTGGTTGCTTTCAAATTTTAGCAATTACGAATAAAATTGGTATAAAGGGCCGGGTGCAGTGGCTCATGCCTGTAATCTCAGCACTTTGGGAGGCCAAGGCGGACAGATCACGAGGTCAAGAGATCGAGACCATCCTGGCCAACATGGTGAAAACCCGTCTCCACTAAAAATACAAAAATTAGCCAGGCATGGTGGCAGGCACCTGTAGTCCCAGCTACTTGGTAGACTGAGGCAGGAGAATCACTTCAGCCCGGGAGGTGGAGGTTGCAGTGACCCGAGATCGGCTACTGCACTCCAGCCTGAGCAACAGAGCCAGACTCCGTCTCAATAAATAAATAAATAAACAAATAATTGCTATAAATATCTGCATGCAGGTTTTTTTTGGATACAAGTTTTCAACTCATTTGGCTAAATATTTAGGAGTGTGATTGCTGGATCCTAGGGTAATACTATGTTTAGTTTCAGAAGAAACTGCCAAAGTGTATTCCAAAGTGGCTGTACCATTTTCCATTCTCATCAGCAATGAATGAAAGGTACTGTTCCTCAATGTCCTCACTGGCATTTAGTGCTATCAATATTCTCCATATTAGCAATTCTAATAAATGTATAATGGTTTTCCATTGTTTTAATTTATAATTCTCTGATGACATGATATTGAGCATATTTCCATATACTTATTTGCCAATCAGATATATTTCTTTGGTAAGATATCTGTTCAGATCTTTTTCCCACTTTTTAATTGGGTGGGGTTTTTTTATTGTTTAAAGGGTTTTTTATATATGAATATAAGAACTTTATCAAATATGTGTTTTACAAATATTTTCTCCCATATGTGGCTTGTCTTTTTATTCTCTTAAACTTATATCATATTTAATTTTTATAATTGAGTATAAGGTCCTGTAGGGTAGGATTTTGTCTTAGAAATGCTTTTGGTTAAATTTAATTAACCTGGCAAGCCTAATAATATTCACATCAGACTCCAACTTCTGCTGCTGTCACAGTTTCATCGGTAAAGTGTGGAACAGTTAAGTGCCCAGTTTTCAATGTTTGCCAATGGCTCAGCTATTCAAGAGTATATTTTAATATATAAGAAGATTATTTTTCCAAGTGTGTGTAAGTAAATAAGGGCTAATCATTTTAAGTTTGTAAATGACCAATATTTAACCTGCATGTAAAACTTCCTCATTACATAGTATACAAGATTAATATAATTCCTTCAGAGAAACCAAAATAATTCTTAACTTTTAGCTTATCTTTTTTTGTGTGTGTGGTTTTGATGGCTTCCATCAAAATTACTGAAAATAACATTAATGTGACCTTTCCAACATCCAAACTACTAAGTTTTTTTGGTACACAGAAAGTTACGGTTATTGGGGTAAAATTCCAGAAAGTAAATGTGAAGAAAAACATGATAAAGTCCCAACAGAAAAGACTGAAAAATGTTTCCCAAAATATCAGTCTTCAGGGATTTACTAACCAAATGAGAGTTCATCCAGTCTAGAAACTTGAAGTCACCTTCCTGAACAACTTGGATCAACCTTCTCTTAAAAGTTATAAATTTAGTTATTTGTTCATCTCCTTTCCATTAACAAATTAGTTTGTTAATTTCCTTTCCTCATGGTGTAGCATGAGCCGACCGCCAAATTATGTTTTTCCCTACCTTGAAAATGTACAAAAATAATTTGTATTGTATATTAGACTATACACTTTCTGTTTTACTTTTAAAACATTTTCATTTTTTCCACAACCAGTGGTGGAATGGAAAAGGCACTCATTATTTCTTGTAACTTATCTCACCTATTAGATATCTCCACCTGAAGGTTCCATAAATCTCAGATTCAACATGATCATTTTTCCCATCCCCAGAATCTGTTATATTTTTGTATTCCCTTAATTAATGACATTAATATATATCCTGTTTTCTATGCTAGAATCTTCAAAGTTTTACTCACCTTCAAATCGTCTTCTGATCCCTCTTTTCCTATCTCCAAGGCCATTCTCTATATTGCCTTCTAGTGTATAAATCTGATACCAGTCTTTAGCCTCAAACTTTTGGCTATTGCCCAATTACCTACGTGAAGAAATATAAACTCTTTTTAATGAAATATAAAGCCTTTCTTAAGCAGGCTTTGATAAATCCTTTCAATGTCTTCTTCCCCTCTAAACCAAAGTACAGTCTACGTTCACTACATTAAACTCTCAAAATTCCCAAACACGAATTGTTTTTTTGATTAATATCTGCTATTTTTTCTTTTTCTTTACACCTCAAATGTTTCCTTTTTTGCAAAAGTTTAAAAGAATTTCTGTGACATAATTTATATTTTCCTCTGTGTTCCCACATCATTTTATTCCATTGTATTGTAATTACATTTGTTGTTTTCCACCTACACTTTCAGTTCCTTGAGAATGAGAATCAAGCCATTGAATTTTGTGTTTCCATCAACTTTGCACAGTATCTAGCACAGGATTTGCAATGAACAAAGGCTGAACAAATGAAAGACTGAACAAATGAATGAATGATTTGACAACACTTTGTTTACAATATAAAAAAAATTCTGCCTAAATAGAGAGGCTCTAGGATCAGTTATTTCTTATGAATACTCTATATTTATTAGTTTATTTACAAAATGCATATTATTAAGTACAAAGTTCTTTGTTTTTTAAAAAGTAGCAAAGATGTATAATACCTAAACCCCATCTTCAGTGAGGAATATGGACTCTGGTAGGCAGATCCAGAAATAACAGAGTCAAGTAGAAAGCAGTCGGTACTGTGGCAGAGGTTTGCAATTCTGGGAGTTGAAAGGAGGACAAAATTACTTTCAGCTTCATAACAAAACATGCCATTTGCTTTACTTATTACACTGTCAGTACAATTTAGACAATAGAGAGGGTAAGAAAACACATTTTGTAAAGCACACAGCAGAAGCAAAGGCTGGAGATAAGAATGGTTAGATGAGTTGGGCATGACCAGATTGTGAAGGACATTAAATGTCAGGCTAAGAAGTCTGACATTTGTTCCATAAATCACAGGGAACTTTTAAGGTTTCTGGACAAAGATGTGACATGCATAAGTCTGTCCTCTACAAAAATTAATCTGGTATCAGCAGATAAGATGGACTGAAGAAGAAATAGACTAGTCATGGAGAGAACAAAATAGCAAAGTGTGAAGCACTCTTATGTGCAGCATTTTGATGTAATAGATACTTGTTGCTTTTGCCAGTAACCTCCATACTTTTTACCATCAGAACATTAGTGTTCTGTTCTCCAGAACAGAAATTCTGGAGTTTGTTTTTAAATTAGCCAGAAAGCAGACTATATTTTGATGGACTGGGTGCTGCCATGATGTGGCAGTACTCAGTTGCTGGGACCTTCCTACTGCAGCCTGAATATAGAGGCACTACAAAGCATATGGAGCCCATAGCAAGATCTTAGGGATATTTTACAAGTCCTAAAGCAAGCTTTGCCTCTATATCTTTGGAGTCATGTTGGTTGAAGTCAGTTTGCAGTAGGTTTTCTGCAATTGAAATAATGTTTGTACACCCATTTGTGTCACTAACAATCCATATCATTGCATGAGATTAGATTTTGTGGATGAGGCATTTGAGAAGTTTCTTGTCATCCTTCCATCTGAAAGAAAGAACTTAAAATAAAAATATGCAAGGTTTAGCCATAGGCAACAGTGGTATTTAATTCAGTCTATTTCATGAATAACACTGACTAATAGATAATAAATTATTAGTGAAAGTAAAGAGTTGTGTTGAGTTAAAAAACACGGTATGCAAAAGCATTTGTAGGCTGTGAAACATAATACAAAAGTTAACTGTTAATACCATTTCTGTATTGATCTCTTATTTATTGCCTCACCCATTGCCCGCTGGAATTTGAAGTCTTTCTCTACACTTCCTGTACACATGCAGTTTCTTCATTGTCGTTACACCGACTTTCCTCGTTTGTCCTTCTACTGCTTAGAGTAAAAAAACAATGAAGTAAAACCCATTATTATTATTTTTTTTGAAAATAAAAATGAATTCATCTTAAAGCCCTTAAGAAAACATCAACCTAACAACGGAGGCCTTTATTGCTGGGTGTTTTACTCATGATTTATCCTCTTCAAACCTTGGTTTTCTATTTGATTGGCAGTTTTAAAGCAATCTCTACCTTTATGTAACATTGCCCTATACTTTAAAAGTGATTTTGGCAGGGCCCAGTGGCTCTCGCCTGTAATCCTAGCACTTTGGGAGGCCGAGGCGGGTGAATCACGAGGTCAGGAGATCCACACCATCCTGGCTAACGCGGTGAAACCCCGTCTCTACTAAAAATACAAAAAATTAGCCGGGCGTTGTGGCGGGCACCTGTAGTCCCAGCTACTCGGGAGGCTGAGGCAGGAGAATGGCGTGAACCCGGGAGGCGGAGCTTGCAGTGAGCTGAGATCCGGCCACTGCGCTCCAGCCTGGGCGACAGAGCGAGACTCCGTCTCAAAAAAAAACAAAAAAACAAACAACAACAAGAAAAAAAAAAACAACAAAAAACCCCAGTGATTTCACTAACAAATGAAACAACTTCTAAGCCCACTAAGAAACTTCAATTGGAATTTGAATTTATACTTCACAAAAACACAGTTGCTGAGTGATACCAACAGTGAAAGTAGAGGTACCTGGCAGAAAAGAAATAGGCTCAAAACAAGGATACAGCCGTTTATAAAACCTTACATAAATATTCCTTTTGGATTAGTCAAAGCTCAGAGCCTTCATTCTTTGAAGTTTGAAATCGGCCAGATTTTTAAAATATATTTTTCAACTTGGGAAATGTATTTTTATTACACAGTTGAAATATTTTCTTTAAGCACGACTTGTCACATCTATTATTTAAGCTTTAAAATTAGCACTTCCTTTCTCTGAAGGAATATTCCATTTCCTCATTTCTTGTCATCTCATTTATTTAAATAAAAATTTTTTTCCTCTGAGTCCCCTGAAACCTTTTAGAATGCATTTTTTTAAACCACTTGGAATAATCTTTTATAATATTTACCTATGTTGCAGTTACATCTCCTTCACTTAATTGCTAAGGACTTTAAAAGGAACTATTAGTTTCTTCTTGTATATTACTGTACACTGTATTCCCTTCACTGCTTGAAATACTTATTCTCAGTGCATGTGGAATAAAGTGAAAGTGAATTGTTGATTTGGTTTATAACAGAATCCTCTAGCAGTTAGTTATTTATTTTGTTTATAGCCTATTTTTGGCTCTCCTCATCTCCACCAACCCCATTCAAACACAAGCTCCAGTGGCCAGGCGCCGCGGCTCACCCTGTAATCCCAGCACTTTGGGAGGCTGAGGCATGTGGATCACCTGAGGGCTGGAGTTCGAGATCAGCCTGACCAATATAGTGAAACCCCATCTCTACTGAAAATACAAAAATTGGCCCGAGGGGGTGGTGTGCACCTATAGTCCCAGCTTACTCAGGAGGCTGAGACAGGAGAATTGCTTGAACATGGGAGGCAGAGGTTGCAGTGAGACAAGATAGCGCCACTTCACTCCAGTTTGGGAGACAGAGTGAGACTCCATCTCAAAAAAAAAAAAAAGAAAAAAGAAGACAAGCTCCTTGAGGGCAGGGGTCTTTGTCTATTTGTTATTTGTTTCACTGGAACACAGTTTACCCAATAAATATTTACTGAAGAATGCATGATTGAATGAATAAACAATAGTGAACATAAACATTTGTCATTTTAAAAACTGAAAGTCACTATACCCTTCAATAAACAAAAACTATATTGTAATCTCTATTTCTTGTATTTACAACCCCAAAGCTATTATCCAGAATACAAATTCTTTAGTAAAATTTGTAAGATGACGTAGCAATGGGAAAGCAATGGAAAAGCTTTATTTTTATGCAACTTTATGCATCTGAGTTTACTCACTAAATGCTTTTCTTGAGATTTCCTATCAAGTATCACCTGGTCCTGTTCCCTTATTCCTTCCTTATCTTCATCATCACATCTTTCCTCTGTGATTCTTCTTAATGTTTTTTTTTCAAGTCTCCTAAATCACAGAGTGCAGATTGACCATTTCCTCACCGACTTTTCTTAGAGTAGTTGCCTGAGCAAGAGGTGCTGTGAAGTGTTACAAGAGAAAGAGTGTGAAGGCGAGGCTTTTTTGTTAAAAAGCCCGTGAATGGTGGAATATGAGCTGGGTTTTGTTGTGAGCTGGAAAAAAAATGCACAGTTGACAAAAAGAAAACGTTTTTTCATGATAGCACGCCAGGGCAAGGTCTCAATAATGAGAATGAAACTTTTCACTTATGAAGGTGCTTTCTAAACTGTGGTGTTTATTTCTAGAGTGTCTTTTCCTAAAATCAGCTGATTGGATCCCTTTTATTTGACAAAACAAAATTTGTTCCCACAAATATATTTATATGTGGAAAATTTCAGAAAGAATTAGATATGTATGGACAGTCAAACTTAAACTTGTCTTAGCCATTTGAATAAGGATAACAATAAGAGACGTACTCCTTGGAAATGAATTTCAGCTAAATTAATTTCCTAAGTTATATATTGGAAACCATTTCATTGGAGTTATTTAAACCAACAGACATTTCTATAACTTCTAAAATTCAACAGACATAAGATTTATTGAAGGATCATGGCTAAATGTAGATTAAATATAGTCAGTTTTGTTTGGGACCTGAGATTTTATATTTCTATTAAACTCCTAATAAGCTTCCAAGTGATTCCAGTGATGCTGCTGATTTGCATTTCATACTTTGAGTTACAAGACTTTAGAAATGTTGGTTTTTTTAAACATTTTTAAAAAGTGATTTATTTTGTAATACCTAATTATTTTATTTTGGTCTTCCTATTTTTTTTTTAATAAATACTTTCAATTATTTATTATGCTGCTTAACTAAAACATATGATTTGATTAAATTTTAAACATTTATTCTTCTGGGTATTTTTTTCTCACTAAACTAAAATGAAAAAAAAATAGATAAATAGTGTAATACTCTAGAGTTGGATGAAAAGATAAGCATGTCTTACCTTTTTGTTTTACGGTCCCTCCACATAAAGACCAGGGAGTTTACACCAGTCAGTACTGCCTGAGCTCAGAGTAGACTTTTTCTCTTTCTCTCCTGTCTCCTACTTTAGAGCACTTTCAGCAAGCCATGTTGCATACAACAGACTCAGTCATGTGTTTTCCTGAATGTAGAGTGTTATAAATCTGCTTTCATTTTTCTCTAGTCTCATTTTCACCAACACGTTCTACTTCCCCTAAGGTAAAAAAGTTGGAACCAAGTTCAGTTTTTAGTTTCATTTGACTAGCTAATGAGTTAAAAAATGTCCATATTCAGCAACATTGATTAGAAATGTTTTTCTACTAGGTGTTGAGTTTTCAGAAACATTTTAAACCATAACCATACTGTTAATGAATTTTTGGAAACACCATTGGAGACTTTTGTCTCTAAAGTACCGCCTTCGTTGTAACTGAATATTTTCAGGTCAGTGGTGGGGGTAAAAGATGGAATTCAGAGAGATTAACTCAGTTTAGCATTCAAAATTGCTTTAAAGTAATGATGCTGAAAACATGTACCTTTGAAAAATATATGTTACTGTATTAAAAAATTGTCATGAGTTCTGGTTCCCTGGAAATTATAAAAATATTATTCAACAATGAATAGCAGTCTCTGTAGCTTTGGTCTTCTATATAGCCATTTGTCTTTTGAGGCATAAAATGCAAGCCAGTTAGCAAAATGTATCAACTTAGAGATGTTGAAAAATGCAAGCACACATTTTACTGAAGTTTACATTGAAGACATAGGAAACTATTTTATCATTAGATGTATGGTAATTTTTTTTTTGAATTGAGAGAAAAATATTGTAATTTATTGACATAGTTGCAAAGAGTTACCTAAATATTTGCTAACAAAAGAGTGTTTCATTTGTATTTTTTAATCTACCTAATCTAGATGAGTCTGGCTTTCTTGCAAACAATTTTTACTCTGTTGTCAAAGGGTATCTTCTACACTCTGATCATATGACTCCCGTGTCTAGAATTTGTCAATGACTCCCGTAGTTTGAGTCCAAAGTTCTAAGTTCTTAGCTTCTTAGCACAATATAGCCTTTAATGTCGTGACTCCCACCTACCTCTCTCTAGGCTCATCTCCTGTTATTCTAAGTCTATCTGTAATCATCTAATGATCCAGTGTTTAGTGGAGATATTCTGTAACCCAATTTTTACTTTTTCCAGTTATGCGCTCCAACCATAGCACATCAGACTTCCCAACTCACTGAATAGTAGATCCCATTACAAAATATGAATTTATTTATGTCGTTGATACTTTTGATTATTTAAAATATCTTCATTTTAGAATTCCAAGGTCACTTGTTTTAAATCTCTTTTACTTCCCTCCCCGAGGGCCCAATGTTCTCTGTTTTAGGGAGCTTGATTTGCTCTCAAAGTCTTCTTCTCAATCCCTCACCTTAGAGTGAAAAGTGCAAGGCTGCCTCTAGGACACTTCCTTTCCCTCCTGTTTCCTGGCTCTAGCCCCTTCCCTCCTATGCTGGGGTAGGGAGGAGCAAGGCTTTTGTAATTCACTGTTGGTAGTTGCTGCTTTTCTGGGTAACAATGACAGGCCATTAAGGCCTCTCTGTTGTTGAAATCCAAATGCTTGAGTCCTTCAGCAGGTCCTCCCATGGGCCCTCTAACTTGACAGTTCCAAGAAGTGACAGCTGGCTCCACCTTGGCCTCTTCCACCCACTTCTGTCACTGTACCACCAGCCTCCTGCTACTTGGGTCCCCTCACCCATCATTGTGTCCTGTTTGTCTGACATTGGACAGATGCCTCCAGTTTTCATTTGTCCACAAACAGCTCACACATTCTTATCATGCCAAATGTTTGGCTCAGAGGCTTTACCATGCTATGTATTACCTTCCCCCACGCCCCGGCATATTTCTCCAGGTCTTTTGTTCTTGTATTCGAGGAAGCATGGGTGGGAAAATCAAGTTCACAATCTATACATATGTCTAAGCAGGTGGTAAGATACTAGTCTCTCTTTCTTGTCAGGCAACCCTAATGTCTACAAATGACCCTCTTGGGGCCCCTTTACAGTGGACATGTCTTCTGTTAGACGTGGGGACAATCCTTCCTTTCTTCTCCATGGGGAAAAAGAAGGAAAATCCTGTTCATACGAACACTACTCTCCTAACTTTTCTCTCACCGCTCTGTTTTAATTCTTGTCAACTCAACACCTCACTGTCCTCATAGGCCCAGTTGGCTGGTTCCAGGGCTCAGGAAAACCTCCATCCAATATGATATAGCTTGGTCCAGTGAGCCTATGTGTCCCAAAAACAGTCGTTCTGGTTCAAGATTCCCTTCTAATCACTCTGCCTCCATCTTCCCTTTTACAGTTGTCTTAGAAAGCTTACCCCCATGCTCTACCTTCTCAGTGACTATGTCTCAATTCTAGCACAATTTATTGCTTCTTTCAATGCATTAATGACATAGTGACTATTTCTATAAACAGTAGAAATATTTGACTTACTTGTCTTCCTTCCAAAAGACTACAAGCTCCTTAAGGGCAGGGACTATTTCTTAGTAAACTGTGTATCTCTAGCATTTAATATAGAGATTACTGTACAGATTGTTAGAAATGCATGTGCATTTAAAAAAGGAGTGGACCTGTAATCCCAGCACTTTGAGGGGCTGAGGTGGGTGGATCACTTGAGTTCGGGAGTTTGAACCAGTCTGACCAACATGGAGAAACCCCGCCCCTACTAAAAATACAAAAATTAGCCGGGCGTGGTGGTGCATGCCTATAATCCCAGCTTCTCAGGAGGCTGAGGCAGGAGAATCGCTTGAACCCGGGAGGCAGAGTTTGCAGTGAGCTGAGATTGCATCATTGCACTGCAGCCTGGGCAACAAGAGTGAAACTCCATCTCAAAAAAAAAAAAAAAAGTGGATAAGATAGTATTATATTTAATTATCCTGGCTGGGTGCGGTGGCTCATGCCTGTAATCCCAGCACTTTGGGAGGCCAAAGCAGGCAGATCACCTGAGGTCAGAAGTTTAAGACCAGCCTAGCCAACATGACGAAACCCCATCTCTAACAAAAAAAAATACAAAAATTAGACAGGTGTGGGAGTGGGTACCTGTAATCCTAGCTACTTGGGAGGCTGAGGCAGGGAGAACTGCTTGAACCTGGGAGGCGGAGGTAGCAGTGAGCTGAGATCACGTCACTGCACTCCAGCCTGGGTGACAGAGCTAGACACTGTCTCAAAAATAACTAACTAACTAACTAAATAAATAAATAAATCCTGCTAATAGCTTGAATTGCAGTTAAATAATTAGATACAAATAAATTTCATGATTTTTAAAAAAAATCACAGAAAAGTAAAATTGATGTGCCACCTGTATGTTGCTGAGCAACAAGTATACAAAAAACTATCAACTTGATTATGTCCTTATGGTTACTTTAAAAAAACTATTAGTAGTTAATCATAAAGTGTATTCATAAAATAAGTAGTGTGGTAAATCAGAACTAGCATCGTTTTTGAAATCGAAAGCCCTAGAATCAAATAAGTTCTGCCACTTATTATCTGGATAACCAGTTCCCATACCTTTCTGAGCAGAGATTAATAATAATAATTTACCTGGAAGAGAGCATTTTAAGGATTAAATAAGATAGTGCATGTAAAGTCTTCGAAAATCTATAAAGGCATAGCTATGTGTACCTACTGTGTACCCACAAAAAGTACAATTAAAAATTTAAAATCTCTAAAGGATTATAGAAAATACAAGTATTAGTTATCATTTGTGATATTTCAACATCTCTATAAACCTGGAAAATTTTACCATTGTCTTGTAATATTGGGTATTATTATTATTGAGGCTATTTCTGAATGCATATAGTAGTAAATAACCTGTAGAAAATTTACTGCTTTTGATTAATGCCAGTGGAAGAAACAGCTAATGCTTATTCTTAAAATTATGCTATTTTTTTCCTGATCAAAATGATCAATGATTTTCCATGTTTTCACCAGTCACAGTCACAAGACCCATGGTACTTGGAGTTTTGGCTCAACAGCTTACCTAATCTGAAGATGAACAAATGAGTTTTTGTTTCTTATTTCTGTTCTCCTAGTGTCAAGAGTAATAGACACCATCTCTCTGTGAAAGCAGGTAACCCATAAAGTTGCTTGACTGATTACAAAACACACTAATTCTATAAGTAACTTCTAAATCAGTGCAAAACTGCAACTTCAAGTGCTTCTCAATGAAAATTCAATACAGGTCTGTTCTGAAGGTGTTCTCTACAAGTAAGAATGCAAAATGAGGTTTGAAATCACTAAATCTGAGAACTACTTATGGCTTTTACTCTTCTGATGTTCCTTTCATCTGGAAAAGTGGAATGGGAAATAAGCCCTTGGAAAGGTGTTTTCTTGTAATGCTGAAACTTAAATTTGTCTTTCCACTAGGTTGACAATGAAAATTGTTTTAAGTGAAATTAAATGGCTAGAGTGAGTAGGATTTAAAAGTTTTCCTGTCCTAGAGAGGGCCACTTGACTTTCTCAACACTGCATTCTGTGTACCTGAAAATGTTCCTATAGAGATTTTTAACAAAAATCTGTAGGCCAGTTTTATGAGCAACATGTAGTCCTGTAGGCCAGTTTTATGAGCAACATGGTCATATCCATCTGTGTATATTAAATAAAAACTTTAAAATAAGATTTTAAATAAATAAGTTTATTTATTTATAAATAATAAATTAAATTAAAATAAATAAATAAATAAGAATTATTATTTTACATTTCCAGTGGGCAGTCTTTCTTAAAGATTACTTGAACTTAAAATTATTAAGATTATCGGGTTAAGTAAGAGAAACTGAGTTGAGGGAATATAGAGGAGAGACTTAAAGCTCTAGCATTTCTAGAAGAAATGCTTTAAATAGGAAAAGCTTCACAATACAGTGGAGAGTTGACAACTGAGTTAGAATAAGCCCAGTTATAATGCCGAGATAAGTCACATTTCTTTTAAATATATCTAATATTAATTTGGAAGGGAATTAGCAGTCCAATATCCCACCTATTAATTTACCTTTACCTCTTTTTTATTGAAATTTTATTTA